CTTGTTTTCTCTTCTTTCTTTTTTTAATTTCCACCCTTATACCTGGAAGGATCAGGCTTTAATCCTCCTCCATAAACAACCAGAAAACTGGACAGAGTAGATGAAACAACTGTTTGCAGACGTAGGACAGCTGGTCAGACAGGACTGTGACCCGGGCAAGACTGCCGCCCTCGTGGGAAAGGGGACGAGCAAGGCGAGCCCGGGGGCCCTGGAGGCCGTTTCTGGGCTGCCGGTGCAGGGGGGCAGGGGCTGAGCAGCGCGGAGCACCCCCACTGAGCTGAGACTGCCCTGGAGCCTGGGGAGACAGAAGGAGCCAGCATTTCCGGGCAGAATCCCGCGAGGGGGAAACTGCAGAAAAGAGCTCCAGAAATCTGCGTGGGGTCCTAAGTCTGGACTGAGGGCCGGCCGCCCCTGTGTGGGGGAAAACGGGGTTCTCCCTGCGTCTGGACTGAGGGCCGGCCGCCCCTGTGGGGGGGAAAACTCTGCAGAGCCAGGCAGGAGAAAGCAGCGTGCGGTGAACAGCACCCCGAGTTCTCACAGGGCTGTGACATGCTTGAGCTGCAGCCAGGGTGACAGGTGCCTGGTGACCGCCCTGGATGTTCAGTGCTGGGGTGACAGGCGTGAGCTACCGTGCCTGTTTTGTTTCTTGAGGTGGTGTCTTACTCCGTCACCCAGTTTGGACTACAGTGGCCCTATCTTGGCTCACTGTAACCTCCACCTCCCGAGTTCAGGGGATTCTCCTGCCTCAGCCTCCGGAGTAGCTGGGATCACAGGCACCTGCCACCACACCCAGCCAATTTTTATATCCTTTGTAGAGATAGCTGTGCATGTTGCTCAGGCTGGTCTCAAACTCCTGACCTCAGGTGATCTGCCCGCCTCCCAGAGTGCTTGGATGACAGGCGTGAGCCACCACACCCAGCCCTCTTTGTTTTTCTTGATCATATTGATGAAGGTTAATCTCCGTTTTGTCGGACCATCCTTTGGTTCTGTTGACCTATACTATGTGTCCTTGGAGTTTCTGTTTCACTGAACCTTCTACGTTATGATTTCCTTACTTCTTGTTTCCCTGAGTCTATTCTCTTGCTTTCTTTCTAACTTCTCACATTGGAGATTTAGCTCATCTAAACCTTATTTTTAATTTTTTTGTTGGAGGAACAGGGCCTTACTCTCTTGCCCAGGCTGGAGTGCAGTGGCGTGAACACAGCTTTCACTGTGGCCTCAAGCTCCCAGGCGCAGTCAGTCCTCCTGCTTCTGCCTCTGAGCAGCTGGGACCACAGCCCTGTGCCACTATGCCCAGCTAATTTTCCAATTTTCTTGTAGAGACAGAGTCTCACCATGTTGCCCAGGCTGGTCTCAAACTCCTCGACCGCTCGAAGTGTTGGGATTACAGGCGTGAGCCACTTCGACTGGCGAAAACCTTTTTAACTGTTGGTGTTTCCTAATAAGCATGGTTAAGGCGATATGTTTCAGTTGTACCCTACAAAACTGAAATTTATAATTTCAGTTATAAATAAATCATTTTACGATTTTCATTATAACCCAAGATCATTCAATAGCAGGTTTTACAATTTTGAAGCGGAAGCAGGGGGAGGGGGGTTTTGGTGTTGGTGTCGAATTTCATTGCATACGTTTGGAATACATTGAGCCTTGCTCTGTGGCCTGATATGATTGGATTCTAGGCATGGTCTGTGTTTGCCAAAAAAGAAAGTGTCATGTGTCTGCAGAGTTAGACCTCCTGAGCCTCCTGTTGATTAACGAGTTTCTTCCAGGAGTGCGCGGGTTGGTTTGTTTTTGAGGAACACGGGCGATTTAAAGCCTTCCTCTAGTCTTAGTTACCTCTTCCCTGAGGCTCTCTCTGTCATTACTTGACATGTTTGGAAGTTGTACCTTTAATTTTTATTTATTTTTTTTCTTTTTTTCTGCACCTCAAGTTGTACCTTTTAAAATACAGAATTCTGGCTGGGCGCGGTGGCTCATGCCTGTAATCCCTGCACTTCAGGAGATTGAGACGGGCGGATCACTGAGGTCAGGAGTTCGAGACCAGCCTGGCCAACATGGTGAAATCTCATCTTTACTAAAAATACAAAAATTCCGGCTGGGTGTGGTGGCGCGTACCTGTAATCCTGTAATCTCAGATACTCGGAAGGCTGAGGCAGGAGAATCCCTTGAACCCTTGAGATCGTGCCACAGCACTCCAGCCTGGGCGACAGAGCGAGACTCTGTCTCAAAGTAAAACCAGAATTCTTCGCCTCTTATGACATTTTCTGCCTAATTCTATTTTATATTTTAATTTTTACTTTTTGTTTTAAGTGGATCTTTTATTGTTAGATCTTGATTTTTTTTTAATTCAATCTAAGAATTTGTTTTTCATTAGTCAGTTTACTCACCTATAAATACCCATTGAGTGCTTGTCTACTGTGACTTAATCTCCATATTATTTACTTAATATTTGTTTCATTTTCCTACATTCTTGTTTTACACTGGAGAAATCAAGCTTTCCTCTGCTGTTTTAGAAGCTGCACGTTCTAATTCTGTCCCGTGGTAACCTCGCCAGCCCACACCGGGCTCACAGAACCTCATGCCTGCAGGCCCCTCCCGGGCCCCTCGCAGATGCGTGCGCCACACTCTCCCCTCAGCGCCACCTCAGCCCTGCCGTCCGAGCCCCCCCACACCCCCGGGTTTCATTTCCATGTGCCTTGCTGCCCCCCGTTCCTTCAGTGACTCCCCCAAGACTGTCCGTGCGGGCCCTCATATAGAACCAGGCTGCGTATCCCGCCTGTTTAGGAAGCCCCGTGCCTGGATCCCTGTAGGCATTTGGAGGTTTATGTTTAACGTGTTTTGATATGAAGATGTAGGGGTGCTTTGTGTAAGTTTGACCTTATCCATATTCTGCCTTCATCGGCCTCCTCCAAGAACTTCATTCCGTCCTAAAGGACGCAGAGTCTCGGCTTCAGGAGTGTGAGTGTGCACTGGCTTCACACAGACACACCCGCCCCGCCCCGCCCCGGGTCACCTGTCTTTCTCTTGGAGAAAGCAAGGCTGCCTCCTTTCCGGGACTGCTCCTGGAGACGGAGATCTGCAGTGAAACGCCGCACGCTCTGGTCATAGAATTAGGACACTGTAGCTGTCCCAACTGAATTTCAGGGCAAATTAGCCCAGTGGGTCACGCGCACAGTCACTGCCTCCTCCAGGACTGATGCTGCCTGCGGGGACTGAGGCGTTTGCTCTGTGACTTGGACCGACAGCGGAAGGGATTTCCGTTTGGCGCTTGTAGCCAGATATTTTGTGAATGAAAATCCTGCCGTGCCTATCTTGGACACCATGACACGCTCTACTCTGTTTATTTTAGTTTAGAACTGAGAGCCAGTGACCATGTGATACCGCCCGTGTCAACACAAGCAAGAGAGATCTCTCCCTGAAACTCGCACTGCTGTTGTAGGGTTTCCACGGACCCTGCTCGAATGTGTGAATTTTACGCCCGGTCCGTGACCAGGGTTGAACCTCCTTCCTGAGGGGCCCGGCTGTCCGCAGAGGAGCCTGTTTTCAGGGGTGGGAGTTCAGGTCAGGCACTCTCCCAGCAAAACCCCAGGACCCGGGCAAGCCATTGCACTGCCAGCCAGAGCGGCCACAGGTCACTCATCTCTGCCACTTGCTCTCTGAGTGGCACAAAGTCAAGGACTACAGCCTGGCCAAGGGGCCAGTGGCCTGTGGCCTCTGACTGTGAGCTCAGAGGAGGCTCTCTGCCCCAACATCACGTGGACAGAGGCAGGGAGGCACGTGGGGTGGGGAATGGGGAGAGAGACCAGGCCTGCCGCAGGAGCGGGTCGGTCCGTGAGGAAGGCTCACGCATTTTCTGACCAGGACTTCATCCCGAGGTGTGTGCAGAGTGGCCCAAAGCCTCCTAGTCCATGCTGTGACTCTGGGCCCTGGAGCCCACCTCCTTTCTGTAGAAGAGCCTGTTCTGGAAGCATCTGTCCTGAGGGCACCCAAGGGGACTGTAGGGGGCTGAGAGCAGCTGGGGCAGGAGGGATGGTGGCCGGCCCCTCCCAGGGTCCAGTCCCGGGCAGCCCAGGGGCCGACGTGGGCGTCTTCTCCCGTCCACTTGGGCAGGTGTTGCCGGGAGCAGGCGTTCAGCAGTGTAGCTGTGGCACAGCCTTGGGTGTTTCTTCAACCCGGGCTGCCCTCCTCCTCCTGCCACGGCACAGCCCCATTCGTTCTGGAACCTGCAAACCAACTCCATCCACCCATCCCCACAGAGCGGAGCGCCAGGCCCAGAAGCACCTGCCTCAGGCCTCTTCCTCCTCCTTTCGGGTGAGAGGCGGCTTCGTCCCCCTCGTGCCAACCTCACCCTGTGTGCCGTGCAGCTGGAGTCAAACAGGGAGGCACAGAGATGCCACAGAGAGCGACAAGCCACACAGCAGGGTCCGAGGCGGCCACTCCTGTGGCGCCCGTGCCCCACCCGGGCACCAAGCTGCTGTGCCATGCATTCCCCACCTGCTGCAGGCGTGTGGGCCTTTGCCTCCCCTTCAGGGGAACGCAAAACCCAGGGATCCAGAGGGTCATTGCCCAGATTTCCGAAGAACGCCTCCAGGGGCCTGGTCTCCAGGAGAAGAGAGAGTAGGGAGAGGCCTTTGGCCCGGCTTATGGCTCTCCGTGTCCCGAGTGGTCAGGCAGCTGATATGTGCGTGGCTGGCGTAGCTCCTGCAGAGCCGGGCTCCCTGGAGGAGACCGTGGCCTCTTTCCCAGCTGTCCTGCTGCCAAGACATGCAGGGAGCAGCCCTGAGACACGGGTCTCAGCCAAAGTGAGAGGCAGGCAGTGCCGTTCCTGGGGACGTGGCTGTGGCCTGCCGGTCTGTGGCCCTGAGATGCTGGGGTGCCCACCTGGAGCTGTGAGCTGGCCAACCTGGGAGGGCTCCATGGGCCCCTTTGGAAAGTTCCCTTTTCATGGATTTTACCTAGCACCCCCTGCACGTGCCCACGCTGTTCTTTGCTGTCCCCAGACAGTGCCAACAGAGGCCACGAGTTGTCTGAACACCACCCCAGGCACTCAGCACTCAGCGCAGGGTCCTGGCCAGAGGGGATGCGGCCAGCACCCCTCACTTCAGGACCAGGAAACCAGTTCCCGTGCCTCCAAAACAGCAGAGACCGCTGCCACTTCCTGCAGCCCCAGCCCAGCCTCCTGGGGCCTCAGGGCCTTCTCCTGCCTGGTGCCTCTGCCCTCCAAAAGACAGGAGATGCACAGGGCGAACAGGTACCCGAGGCTGCCCAGCTCACAGACCACTGCCCGTCCCTGGCTCTCGCTGTTCCGGCCTCCTCGGCACCCACCAGCCTGCGGCCACTTGTGCTGGACCTCTCGGCACCCCTCCTTCCTGTGGGCTGCGTTTGGACGGGCCTGGTGGGAAGCCAGCCCCGGAGGAAGGCCACGCGTCTCTGGGCCTCGCCTGTGTGCCCACCTTCCTCAGTGCAGCCTCGAGCAGGGACAGACCCACCTCTCTCAAAGCCTTGTGCCCACAAAGTCTTTCCCCTAAATTCCCTTCCTTGGGGCCCCAACCGCACACCACTACTGGGTGACCCATCTCAAGGGCTGGGATGGGGCCCACATGGGGCAGCACCGAGAGGCTATAGCATTCAGGCCTGGGGGAGCGCAGCAGCAGCAGGGGCCCCGCCAGTGTGGTGGGGGGTGCAGCCTCAAGGGCGGCCAGAAGAGGTGCTGGCATGGAACCGGGGGTCAGCCTGTGGGTGCTGCCTAGACCCCCAGTCTCACCTCTGCCCTGTTCCAAAGGCCAGCAGGCGGGGCCTGAGGATCTGGGGTGTCCCGCTGGCCCTGCCTCACCAGGCTGAGTGACGTGTGGCAGGACTGCCCAGAGCCCTGGAGTCTGCATTGCTCAGCACCCTCCCCTCCTGTGTGTCTGCCCAGTCGAGGGCTCCGGGCTCCAGGTGCAGGGAGAAGGGCAGGGCAGCCAGACAGAGCAGGCCCAGGCTTATGCTGGCCAGGGCATCCACCTGCAGAGTGGCCACGGGGACCAGATCACCTGGCCTCCCTCCCCTGGGCTTCCCCTGTGCTCTCCTGTTGTCACACTCAGGGGCGGGTGGTGTCCAACAATCCCACAAGGGCAGCCCTGTGGCCACTGTGGGCTCCTATAAACCTCAGGCCTGAGCTCCAGCTCAGGGGTAGGGGTGTCCCTTAGGAGACATCAGCAGGTGGGGCTGGCATGGCCTGTGAGCTTCACAGGCGTCGGGGCTGTGGCAAGGTGCACGCAGCTTCTGGAGATTCTGGGGGGGGGGGGGGCAAGTCACGTTCGCTGTCGCTTTCTGCATGGAAGGCCTGGCACCATGCCCACAGCAGTGGGAATCCTTACTCCCAAGGGACTCGGAAACACAATTAGTTGCATTTGAGAAGGGTTAATCTTGGGTGGGTGAGGACCCCTGTGGCAGCTAGGGGGATTCAGCAGAACGAGGGCCCTCAGCATGGCAGGGGTGTACCCCAGAGAGCAGTGGAGGCCACAGGGAGACAGAGGGGCCTCTGTGCCCTGGGCCCATGGCCACAGAATGGACTTGAGGTCTGCGCTGCCATCAGGACCAGGCCCTCCCTAACCCCAAGGCAGCGCTGCAGAACCAGGGCAGGCTCAGGATCACCGTCCAGCCCCTCCCAAAGCCCCAGGAAGCCAGGCAGATGTGCCCAGGGGCGCCCAGAGAGCCGGGAGCAGCCTGGAGAGTGAGCCACCAGAGGCCAACGGGGACAAGAGCTGGCCGGGCGCTCAGGTGCAGGAGAAACGCACAGCGTGGCCAGAAAGCCGGGGACCAGAGTTCTCACGCCCCCAGGCAGAGACAGAGCGATGGCCACACCTCCCCTGCCGGGGGACAGGCTGTGCCTTCCCGCAAGAGTCCACCAGCTTCAAACCTCCAAGTATGGTTCTGCCGCCTGAGGGGCCAGAGCCCAGCCCAGAGGGCCCTGCCTCAGCTTAGCCCCCTGGGAGGGGCCAGCAGGCCCCAGTCCTCCGCCCCTGGTTAATTGCTGCAAGGCCTCGGATGTTTCAGGAACTTTCCAGAAGCTCTGTTCTGCACCAGAGCAAGAGCAGATGGTGGGGGAGGGGCGCAGGGCCCAAGAGGCGCGTCCCCCACGCTGTGCCCAGCAAACTCTGTGTCCACACGGTTTCCCTGAGGCCCAGTCAGCCCAGTTCAGAAAGGCAGATCCCAGCCAGGCTCGGCAAAACAGGTCAGGCGAGGAGGGGCAGAGAGTGGTGAAGGCTAAGAGTGTTTTTAGAACCAGTTACTGGTTTGACCTCAGATTAGCATCAGGTAGGAGAATAACCCAGGGTTACAGGGAGTCATGCCTGGGCAGCCAGCTTGACAGCCCTTGCCTCCTGGCCTAGAGCTGGCTGGGCTGGGGCTGCCCCCTGCCCTGCAGTCCAAGGCTCATGGCCAGTTCCCTGCCACCATCCCCGAGGAGGACTCAGAAGGAAAGGGGCCGGTAAGAAACCAGAACCTGCAAAGGGGATATTCTGTGCTAGGGAGGCCAGACCAGCCCAAAAGCCCTGCCCCAGGTGGATGGGAAAGGGCCTGCCCTGGGAAGGGCACCCTCCCTGCCCCGGCCCTGGATCCCACCCACACCTCCCTGCTTTGCCTGGGGACACAGCTCTGGTCCTCCCAGCAGCACCTGCCCGGCCTCCCCAGCAGAGGGGCTGCCCCTTGGACCCCCTCCCCGAGTTTACTTTTTCTGAAAATCCCTGAAGGCATTGTCTCAGGAGGATCAGCTCAGGCCACGCCCCCAGAATTCCTGCGTCTTAGAGAGGGGCAACCAAGATCCTGGGTTTGAGGAGACCCCCTCGGGGTCACCGTGGAGCACTAGGGCCCAGTCAGAGGACCAACTTTGCAGCGGGAAGCCCTTTCCACGGGACGCCCCACCCTCTGTGGTGGCGGCCAGGCCAGTGCTGGGGGGGCATGCGGGGCGGTGCTGAGGTCCGGCAGGCTTACTGTCGAGATACGCAGTGGGAGCCTTTGTATGAAGAGGAGGAAGTCCTCTGGGGGTTGGAAGCAAAGGGAGCAGGCAGTGCCCAGGGCCCCCCAGGACCCCAGCAGGGGGCCGGGGTTAAAGGATGGCTGGTTCTGGGGGTCTCGAGACCCCGACTGTGGAGTAGGTGGAAGAAGCCGAGATGGTAAAGACAGGCCCAGGGCCAGGGCGGGGCGTGTGTGGCTGCCCGTGTGCCCCATGAAGCCCAGCCAAGACACAGGCATCACTGCCGGTGTCCCCAAAGCAGACGCTTCCCAGGCACCCAGGCGGCACGCAGGCCACGTGGGCCAGGCTCCAGTGGGAGGCCTTGGCCACTGGCTGACCTGCCCGGGTCCACCCATCCAGACTGCACACTGGGCTGCACTGAGCCATGTGCTGGAGCCCTGTAGACCTCACCCCAGCCACGGTGGACACCCCAGCCACTCGGTGGACACTGAGCTCACATCTCACCATGGGTTTTTAAATAACGTTTTGTTGTTTTACCAAAAAAACACATTCTTAATTCAAAAAACGGAAAATAGAGAAAAACTAGCCAGATAAAGACGATCCCTTACGACACCCTGTGTGAAGACGGTCTCAGCCAGTGCTTTGGAAGGGCCACCTGGTGCTGAGGCCCGAGCCTGTGGTTGGGGGGGGCGCTCCTCTAGGCCCTTGGCCTGTGCCTGGCCAGCGGGTTCCCACTAGCATGGCCTTTCCTTCAGCCTCGCAAGCCTGGCACTGCTGGCCCATGGGGGAGGCAGGGGCAGGGCACCTGGTGCAGCTGGGAGGAGGGGCTTCCGGTCAACCATTTACCCCAGCATCCCTCCCCCCGGGACCATCTTCAGAGCCAGATGCCCAGGTGCACAGCGGAGGGGCAGGCAGGCCCTAGGACCCCCTGAGCAAGACGAGGATACAGCTCTCCAGTCAGGCCTCCAAGGGCTCCTGGCACAGCCAGGCCAAGGGTCACAGCGCCCTGCTGGCTGGGGCAGCAGAACCACCACGCGTGTGGAGAGCGTGTGAGCCTCCCGCCCCTCCTGCGCTCCTGACGATGGCTGTTTTTCTCCCGTTTCTCTTTACCCGGTAGAGCTCCCAGCTCCTCCAGCAGCCAATAGGAGCCCCGTCAGGATGCAGGCAGGCTTTGCCACCCCAGGGATGAAGACGGCAGCCCAGGCAAAGGCCAAGCCCACAGGAGCCTCCCGGTTTCATCCTGCAAAAGTTAAAGGCTGCCAGAGGCCCCCCAAGATCCGGAACTACAACGTCAAAGACTGACTTCCTGGAGTGCCCACCTGCCGCTTGGGGGGCTCAGGGCCTCTGCATGAGTGCTTGTGCTTTCACCTACGTGTGGGGGTGTGGGCACAGGATGCGGGTGGGGGCAGAGAGCTGCAGGGGGCTGCAGGGCGATCTGCCCGACCACAGGCCTCCCTGAGCGCAGGGTCCATTAAAACCAGGCTCCTCCCTGGGGCATCTCGTTGGCCGTAGCATTGTTTATCTGTCCTACTTGGGAAATGTGGTATCGAGTGCCTGTGCCAGGGCCCGGCCGGGCCGTGGTGGCACCACCCACAGCCACCTGCACGCTGGCGGTGTTGGGGACAGTGTGGCCTTCCTCGGAGCTGGGTGGGGGCAGAGCGGAACACCCACCCACAAAGCTTGTGTCTCCTGAGAGCACCATGGGAGGGTCCCTCCCAGAAGGAGAGCCTCGGATCCGAGTGAGCCTGGCCAAGGTGACCCCTAGAGGCCAGGTGGGCGCCAGGGCCTCATGCAGGTTGGGGTGTGAGTGTCAGGTGCTGACAGAGTGGGGGCCAACCCAGGATAATGATCACTGCTGGGCCTCCACAAAGGACAGCAGCAAGATGTCCCTGCCACCTGGGTGCCCAGGGCCGTGCACCTGCAACACAGAAATGCCCATCAAGGGACGCCCCTCCGAGCCACCCAGAACACACCGCACTCCCCTGCTGAAAAGCACTTCCGAGAGCCCTCCACACGGACAGTGCTCTACAGCCAGCAGGAGGGTGACTTGGGGGGGTTCATGTCCCACCCCCACTCCTCCGGAGCCCTGCCTCCACCCCCCCAGCCTGGCACCCGGACCTGTTCATGCCAGATAAAGTGCAGGAGGGGAAGCCCTGTTTACCCACCTGGGTGAAGTGCCTTGCTGTGTACCCTCAGGCCACCTTTCTGAACCTGGCAGACAGCTTCTCGGGGAAGACGATGGGAGAATGATGCTCCCAGCCCTAGCCTGTGTGTCACCTTGGCAAACCACAGGACCTTTGCAGCTTCAGTTAGCACCCGTGTAAGATGCAGACAGTGCTCTCGGGGAGCCTAGCTCTGCCTAGCTCACAGGTGTGCCCCCGGATAAGCCCACACCCCACAGAGGCTGTGGTTCCCCAGGGCAGGGCTCCCTCCCTCGAAGCCTGTGCTATGGTAGCCTCCTCATCTACTCTCCCCGGGAATCCACAAACGGAGATTGGGATGGGCGGGGGCGGGGGGTGGGGGGGTCTCTCGAAGTTGTCCCCTGGAAGCCAGTCATGGCCCTGTGACTTTTTTTTTTTTTTGATACAAGAGTCTGCTCTGTTGCCAGGCTGGAGTGTAGTGGCACCATCTCGGCTCACAGCAACCTCCGCCTCCGAGATTCACGCGATTCCCCTGCCTCAGCCTCTGGAGTAGCTGGGAATACAGGCGCCCACCACCATGCCTGGCTAATTTTTTGTATTTTTAGTAGAAACACGGTTTTACCATGTTGCCAGACTGGTCTCAATCACCTGACCTCGTGATCCACCCACCTCGGCCTCCCAAAGTGCTGGGATTACAGGCGTGAGCAACCGCACCCAGCTGCCCCTGTGACTTTTTTTTTTTTTTTTTTTTTTGAGACAGAGTTTTGCTCTTGTTACCCAGGCTGGAGTGCAATGGCGCGATCTCGGCTCACCGCAACCTCCGCCTCCTGGGTTCAGGCAATTCTCCTGCCTCAGCCTCCTGAGTAGCTGGGATTACAGGCACGCGCCACCATGCCCAGCTAATTTTTTGTATTTTTAGTAGAGACGGGGTTTCACCATGTTGACCAGGATGGTCTCGATCTCTCGACCTCGTGATCCACCCGCCTCGGCCTCCCAAAGTGCTGGGATTACAGGCTTGAGCCATCGCGCCCGGCCCCCCTGTGACTTTCTTTAGCTGAAAGTGAGTTGAGCTGCCGGTCACTTTCTTTTTCTTTTTGAGATGGAGTCTTGCTCTGTCGCCCAGGCTCGAGTGCAGTGGCATGATCTCAGCTCACTGCAACCTCCGCCTTCCAGGTTCAAGCAATTCTGCCTCAGCCTGCCAAGTAGCTGGGATTACAGGCACCCACCACCACACCAGGCAAATTTTGAATTTTTAGTAGAGATGAGGTTTCACTATGTCGGCCAGGCTGGTCTCAAACTCCTGACCTCAGGTGATCCACCAGCCTCAGCCTCCCAAAGTGCTGGGATTACAGGCGTGAGCCACTGCATCTGGCCTAATTTTTGTATATTTAGTAGAACCGGGTTTTCATTATGTTGGCCACCATGATCTCCAACTCCTGACCTCATGATCTGCCCACCTCAGCCTCCCAAAATGCTGGAATTACAGGCATCAGCCACTGCCAGTCACTTTTTGTAGAAGCCCTCAGGGTGCTGGATGAGTCCCCTGGCCTCTGGAGCCGTCCAGGGCTTCCCTATAGCTGGCCCAGCCCCTGACAGGCTGCAGAGAGCAGAGCCCCCCTGGCTGCTAACCACCAGCACTGCCAGCTAGGGCCATCTGGGAGGTGTGCAGCATGGAGAGCCAGGGCTGTGTGCCCGCATGCCTGAGGCTGACACAGGGCCTCACCCTGCATCAGAAAAACCCCTCCAGTGGGGACAGCAGTGTGGGACCAGCCCCCGGCCCTGCGTCCCCTTGTCCTTCCTTGACCTTCCGTCCCACTGTGTGTGAACCACAACCCCAGGGCCAGAAGGGAAAAGACTGTGGCCGCCTGACCCTCAGGCCTGCTCGCAGGAGAGGGAGGAGGCTGGGCACCTGCAGAAGGGCGGGAGCGGGGTGGGGGGGTTCAGTCTCTGGTTCCCCTTCAGCGGCCCGGGCTTCCCGATCCCTCAAAGCAGGACATGCAGCCAGGAACACCTGTGGCCTCACAAGGCCCGCTTGCCCCCCACGGGGTGCCTGGCCCCGAAGGCACGAGGCGGCCAGGAAAGGGAGGGCGCGCCTCAGGGCTCAGACCGCCAAGCCGGCAACCGTTGGTGGAGTGGAATCACTCAGGCGGGAGGGCGCGAGGGCCGGGCTGAGCCCCCGCCCGTGGGTGCGCGCCTGGAAAACTCGCAGCCTCCGCCTAGCGAGGCCGGGCAGCGGCTCCCTTTGTTCGCATCACACCAGGTGGGTGGGTGTCCCGGCCGACAGCGCCCGCCACGTGGCCGCGCCCCACCCCTCCAATGCGCTCCGGAGGCCCGGGGTGCGCGCGCCCGTTCGGCCCCGCGGCTCGACCCCGTCCCCGGGAGGCTGCCGAGAAGGGGCCGTCGGGTGAGTGGGCGTCCGCCTGGGTTTCCCGCCGGCTCCGACCGAGAACCGGGGAGGCGCTGCGATGACCGGCAGTAACCCCGCTCGGGGCGCCCTCGGCCGGGGTCAACGACCGCGCTCGCGCGGCAGCCCGCGCGGCATCCGAGACCGCCGCGCCGCCCGCCCATCACCCTATCGCCTAGCAACGCCCACCCGCGCGCCGCCATTGGGCCGGCGCGAACGCCCCCGGGGCCCGATTGGTCGCTGCGGCCGCCGCGCCACGCCCTCGGTCAGCTCCGCGCCTGCAGCGTCGGCAGCGTGTAGCGGGGCGGCCGAGCTGCGGGCACGCGGGCACGTCCGTCCGTCCGTCCGCGCGCCTGTGGGCCCGAGCACCCCCTGAACCCCCCGCCGGGGCGCGGCCGGCTGGATCCCCGGTGCGGCCGCGGCGCAGTCCCCAGTGTGGCCCAAGGATGCCCACCCCGCACACGTGGTCCGGGCGGAGACCGGGGTCGGGGGCGCGCCGCGAGCTCGGTCCCAGCCGCGTGCGCGTCTGGGCCCGCGGGGCGCGGAGCGGAAGTCGGGGGCGGGGCTTGCCCGCGCGCTCCGCCTCCAGCGCGCCCCAGGGCCGGCCCCTCCCCCTGCGCGTTCGCGCGCAGGGTCCCGGCTTGGGCGGCGGCGCGCACGGGCATCACCCCACCGGCGGCGGCGCGCTGGGTCCCGGGGCGCAGCCCCGACGCTCATTGGCCTGGGCGGCGCAGCCAAGCTGTCAGCCCATGTGGCGTGGCGGCCCGGGGATGGCCGCGGTTTAAATAGCGCCGGCGCCGGCCTAGAGGGAGCCAGAGAGACGGCAGCGGCCCGGCCTCCCGCTCCGCCGCGCTCCAGCCTCGCTCTCCGCCGCCCGCACCGCCGCCCGCGCCGCCGCCCGCGCCCTCACCAGGTAGGAGCAGCCGGCGCGGGGCTGAGGCGCGGGTCGGGGTCCGGGCTGGGGCCGGCGGGGTCACGGGGCGGCCAGCGCCGCATCCTCCGGTCTCAGGGCGCGCGTGGCCTGTCCCGCCCGCGTCCGGGGGGCGCCTGCGCGGCCTGCCCGGGTCTCGATGTCGGAGCCGCTCCGGAGGCGCCCGCGGCCCCGCGGAGCAGGTGGGCGGATGGCGGGGAGAAGGACGCCGGGGAGCGCCGCCGGCAGCCACGTTCGCTTCCCGGGCGGGAGGCCGCGGACCCCGGAGGGCCTGGAGGAGCCCCCGGCCGGGCCTCCCCGCGCCCACAAAGGCGCCACCGGGCCCTGCCCGCCGCATCCTCCTCTGGGGTCCGCCCCATGGCCGAGGCCCAGCACGACGGGGACGCCGCGAGGGAGGAAGACGGTGGGCGCGGGTCCGCGCCGAGACCGGCCTCCCCATCACGTGGCGCCGCCGGGCGGAAGCGCAGGGGTCGCCGGCAGCCCCCGCCCCGGGCAGGGGGAGGCCGGGCGCGCCACGGGGTCCCCACCCCCACCTGGCCGTCGACCCTGCGTGAATCGCAAGCGACGAGAACCCAGCGTGCGGGCCTAGAGCCGGCGCCAGCCTCTGTGAATCGCGGTGTAGGGGGAAGGCGGCCGCCTCCCTGCGGGACGGCCCGGGGACGCCGCAGCACCTAGGGGCGGCGTGCGCATCCAGCCCCCGGGCCTCGTGCAAGTGGCCAGGCCGGCCCTCTCCCCGCGGGCTGCACCAGCCCCATGCTGGATCCAGAGCCGGCAGCCTGGGCCCCGGTTCG